AAAGCGATGAGAAACCCTAATGACATTAGTGAGGACCAAAAAAAAAAAAAAAAAAAAGGGTAGTGTTTGAAAGCTCTTTGTTATGACAATGCTGGGTATGTTAAGCCACTTGATTAAACTATAATTTATAAATCCTCTTTTGGATATGAGATCATTTAAATTTCAAATGAAAGAAGTCAAAGAAAGACGTCCCTAGCATCTGAGAATCTGTACATGTTAGTTCAAGTTTCTCTTTTTAAAAGTAGATGTATAGATAATAACTTCTTTCCTTTTCAAAATAGTATTTTAGTTATCCTTATGTTTATAAAGAAATGTGCAAAAGATAATAGGTGATACCCAACAGTGTAGAGCTTTTTAAACCCTGAACATAATTTTTTTTCTTCCTTTAGGCTGTATAAAAAGGCAATTTTTTTTCTTTAGCTTTTTTAGTTGCTTCTGAATCACAGACAATAGTGATAAAAATGAAATCATTTAAAATACAGCTAATTTTTAAAAAAAATTTGACAAACAAAACTATAGTTGAAGCATGATATTTAATTTGGCTGTGTGGTACATTTTTTCCCAGCAGAAATGTGGAAAAATGAGCTACCTATGTTATGACATGTATCTAAGTATGTAGGTGCTAATGTCTAGGTATTCTGTACATGCAAAGTCTAGAACAATGTGGAAACCAGCTTATTGACAAACTGACAAGTGGGATCCTGACAACGGCAAAGAAGGGCTATGTCCAGGTACTTAAAAATCAGTTAAGTTTTGTTTTTGAAAGTTCAAAACAAATTAAAAGAACAAATTTCATTGGACAAACAATGCCCTAACCTGAAAAAATGGCTTTAACGTTGAGACTTTCTCACTCTTGGCTGTGAGGTGCAAGAGATTCCATTATCGGGGGTGTGCTAGGGTGATCAACCATCCCATTTGCTCAGGACTGAGGCATTTCCGGGAATGCGGGGCTTTCAGTTTTCGAACCAGGACAGTCTTGGGTAAACAGAGACAGTTGGACACCCTAGTTTGTGTTTTCACATCTCTCAGTTATTATACCTTATATAATACAAGCCAGGTACTGTACTTGGCTTGGCTCCATAATCAGCTTCATTAGGCATTTGTATCAAGTTGATTTTTTCATGTTGCAGTTTCTTTGGCAAGTTAGTAATGATACCTGTAAATCCTGACTGATTTCAGTAATGACTTGATTATCAGCTATACAAAATACTTTATGTTTAATTTTTTTGTAAGTTCAATTAAGTAAACAAATTCCTTCAAATTGGGCAATTGATGCTTTCTCTTCTTACTTGCCAGTTCCCAAATGATTTTTTTTTCTACAAGAATGAGGCTTTTAAGAAAGTTATATATGATTTTAAAAAATCCTTTCTTAATTTGAACTAGTGATTTTGAAATCCATTGCCTTTGAGGAAGATACACAGAGACTATGCAATAAAGTTGTAGAAAAATAAAGTGATCCATTAATTGGGTATAATATATTCCCCATTCACTCACCTCCCTTTTGGAGCAGATGAATATCTGTTGTCTTTTACATAGATGATAGCTCATAGAGAAATGATTTCTAAACCTTTATTTATACATGACTCCAGGTATGGGACAATAAAATGATATTCATGTAATTTTTATAGTTGCCAAGGATGGCGCCTGTCATTTGAAATTCTCAGTGCAAATTGCTCCCCTAGTATCAGCTATGGTTGGCAAAAATTGTCTGAAAAAATTTCCTCAGTGTGAATTGATATTTGGATGTAATGTTGCTTTTTAAACTTCTTCCTTTTGCACAAAATTGAAAAATTCTGGACAAATACATGAAAAGGAGTAAAAAAAATCATGTTTTCACTGAATGTTAAAACACAGACAGTTGGTTAAAAGTATATTTATAAAACAGGGGTGCCTGGGTGGCTCATTCAGTTAAGCATCTGACTCTTGATTTTGGCTCAGGTTGTGATCTCAGGGTTATGATATCGAGCCCTGAGTAGGGCTCCACGCTCAGGGGGAGTTTGCTTGATTCTCTCTCTGCCCTCCCCCCAACCCCGGCTCTCTTTATCTCGCTCTCTAAAAATAAATAAATAAAATCTTTAAAAATATATTTATAAAATAGAATACACTTAAAATATCTACTGGTATTTAAATTATTAGGCACCATCTGTAACTGGTAATAGTGTGTTCAAACGTACAATTGACTTTAACACTGAAGTACAGTACAGATTTCAGCCATTACATAAAAAATGTCCTCAGCTTTAGGTTATATAATGATAAACTGTACCTGTTGAAAAAATATACGTGGAAAAAAGAAATAATTTTAATACAAATATGACCCATCTGCAGGCATTCATTTATTCTGATCCAGCAACCATGGTAAATGTGTTTGGATTACTGGGCATAGTATGAAACATTTAAAAGGGAGTGGAGATCTCTTTTAAAACAGAAGGCTCTTCAAACTCCACAATGATGTCAGAAATATAGGTCCTTGGAGCACATTATTGTTTTAAGCAGAGGTCCCCGCACTTTCACATTGGTTATAAAACATTATTTTGTGCTGCTGGCCTGGAATGAGAATGTCATGCATCTGTAGGCAATTAGAAGAAGCTGGACTGCATGTTTGATTAGCTCAATAATAAACGGGCACAAGTGTGACTCTACTTATGTTAGTCAGATTCCCTAGACAGATTATCCTGTTATTATCATATGAAATAACCCCCTTTTATCAACAATTAAGTAAATCCACATTTATGGGCACTTTGCAAAATTGTGAGGTGGGAAGAAATCCAACTTAAGCCTTAAGTCATCCAAAAAACTTTTAACCCTGCTTTCAATGATACAGACCCCAATCCCAAGTTTTAGAAATTGGTTGAATTATGTAGAACAGTTGGGTTGGAAATACCTTGTGTGCACACAATCAGTTAATATGTTTTTAGCATCTATTGTAAGCAAGGCATTTAATAGTTTTAGCTTATAACTAAAGAAAAAAGTTCTCACAGAAGAATTACAAATGTTTTAATCTGTGAAAAGTAATTTTGTAAGGTAGTTCTAAATCTTAAGAAAAATTAAATAGGATTTCATTTTTATTATTCACATTTTATTATACAGTTTCTACTATAACCAATGAATGTTGTAAGTCTTGAATATGCCCTATCCCAGAACTTCTTCATTCAGTTCTAGGCATTGTTCTTGAATTCAACCACAATCATCAATGATAGACTATAAGCCACTTTGGGAAATGACTCATTCATTTACTTGTTTTTTTTTTTCTCCTAAGTATCATTAAAATATACATCTGAAGCATGAAAAATAATTCAGTATATAAAAGTCAATACTAAAATAAATAAATTAAAAAAAAGTCAATACTTAAAAAAATTTCACCGTAACTTTCCAGTTTCAGGAAAAATACTACCAAACCTTCCAATCCAACTATATATTTAAATAACACAATTAAAAGTTGCTATCTTAAATAAACTCAATACTTTTTATCAATATTCACTCACATATACATAAAGTAACCTTTATGTGAGGTTATCTCACATAAAGTGAGCCTATCTCTTTGACATAATCCTTAAATTAAATATCGGAATATCAAGCAGATGCTGAAGCATTCATCATCATTATTGGAATTCTGACTCATGACAGTAACACGAAACAGATGCTAATATGATGCGCCCTCTGAAAAGTGACACCATCACAGCATGGGTTAGCTCTTGATGTGGGGTACTTAAAAATTTGAACACAAAATATAAAATAATAAAAGTCAGGGCATGATGGGTGTCCTTCATTTATAAGCCATTTGAAATCTATCTCATACAGAAGATAAAACTCAAAACCGGCACATAAAGGGCAGCATCTCAGGGAAACAGAAGATGCTTCTTTCACTTAATGCAGCAGTTTAGGTGACCCTGATTGAACACCTCAGTGTTGAGGGAGGCAGATGCTGTCGTCCTCACTCATGAACAGGTAGGAGGTTAGAAACTCCTGGACCCTTTCCATTGGCCAATGTGTACCAGGCACCTGTGGTGTAATATGGGATCTACTCTGTCAGCCCCTGGCAGTGCAAAAGGAGTCTGGGGCTCCTATGGCCCAGCTCAGTAAAGAGCTCCACACCAGGCAGATCTGAAAGCGTTTGCTAAGTAGGAAAATGGAAACAAAATCTCTTAGCACAGTCCAGTTAGCTAATATCCTACACATCTTCAAAGCCCAAGATTCTTATCATTTTGCTAGCATGAGTCTACAGCTGTTTCTAGAATACACAATGATGTGTACTCCTTGTGAAAATAAACAGAAAAACCCAAGCAGATGGTGCCATGGTGCAAGTGATATAAGCAAAACGTACTCAGATGAGAACTTAAAAAGATATAAATGTGAGTGGGGCAGATGCCCTCAAAGATAATGAGAAACAGAAGTCCCATTTCTTTATTCCTCAGTGAGAAAAATAAATTAGTGGCAAGTTCAATGAAAAGAAAGCTTGAGAACCCAAAGGAGGACATTTATGGAGTAGCTTGACAGTACAATTTCGAAGTCCAAATGAATAATCTGGCTGTTCCTTCTGAGAGCTGTGACCCTAGTTCTGCCTGCCTGGGTTTGAAAGCTAGTTCTACTCTCACCTGTGTGACCCCCGGTTCCCAAACTTGGCTGCACCCTGGAACCACGTGGGGAGCTTTAAAAAATATGGATGCCCAGAACCACCCCTCCCACCCCCCGAGACTGTTACTTAATTGGGCTGGGGTGTGGCTTGGATATGGAGAAGTTTTAAAAGCTCCCAAGTGACTGTAGGTAGGTGCCACTATGATTGAGAACCACTGTGCCACAGCTTCCTCATTTGCAAAATGAGGACCATACAGGCACCAACGCCCTTTTAGGATTTTTGCGATGATTAAATGGTAATTCAGGCAAAGCCCTCAGCACAATGTGTGGCGTGTGGGAAGCTCTCAGTAAACGTGAGCTGTTACCATCCTCACCACGAGGTGCACTTGGACAAGAACATTCTCGTTAGCATAGTAAGTCATGCTTACCTTGGCACACATTATGCTCACTCTGTTCGTAGCCTGTTGCACACTGGATCCGGTGAGAAGGGTTGGCAGGGATACGCTGGGCGTCTGCTGGGTTCCGCCGGATGACAAAGTTATTTCGGCCAGTCTGCACTTCCGGGCCTGCCACCGCAGCAGCACTGGCAACGAAGCCGCCCCCGGGCATCACTCCACTGGATGCCATGCCGGTGGCCGCCATGCCCCCAGCGCCTGCCCCCGACGTGGCAGCTGCATTGGCTGCTGCACCCACGCCTTCTGCGGCGGGTGTTTCTTGCTGAGGTTGTTCATTATTGACAATAATCTGGGCTGTTTTAGGAAGGCAGAGGTATCCTCCATAGTGGTTGACACATTTCATTCCACCTTTGCAAGCGTCTGGAACAATGTCACATTCATCAATATCTGCAGTCGACAATAAAATAAATCAGGGATCTTCTCAGAGGGAACTCTGAACGTGTAAATATATGCTCATGCCTTTTTGGTAGATACAAACAGGACAGCAAGAGTGACATGAGATGGAGACAGAAAGCTATGTTCAGAAGGGAAGTCTTTGAAGTTGGCTCACCTTTGCACTGCTGTCTTACAGGATCCCACTCATATCCATCTGTGCATTGCTGTGAAGAAAACATCAAAGATGGGACCAGGAGACAATTAATTGGTGTATCCACTTCCTAAGAAGTCACTCTAAAAGCTTCATTCCTATGGCAACAATCCTTGCTCTAGAGTCCTAGATAGATGATGAGATGGGTAGTTTAACATTCCCTAGATTTTCTCCTTCTTTCCTTCCTTCCTTCCTTCCTTCCTTCCTTCCTTCCTTCCTTCCTTCCTTCCTTCCTTCCTTCCTTCCTTCCTTTCCTTCCTTCCTTCCTTCCCTCCTCCCTCTCTTCCTTCCCTCCTCCCTCCCTTCCTTCCCTCCTTCCTTCCTACAAATCTGTGCATTGGACCACTTCAGGGCTCCCTTCTCAATCACCAGCTGCCTCAACTCTTGTGTTGTATTTGGTAGAGTTGTACATCACCATCTCGGAATTCTTTTCTCTGTCTCAATACTGATCTTCTCTAATCTCTCTGAATGACCGTTTTTGCTTTATTTGCCCTTCTTCCACATTATAAATTTTACCACCACCACCAACAAAAACAAGTTCCTTTTCTCAGCCCTTGACTCTTCCCCTCCTCTCTCAATTCTCTTGGAGCATTCCAGCACCTGCCTTTCCTTATTCCTGTTCAGCTGAGTCCCAAGCCTCCCACTCACATCCTGACCTGCCTCCTAGTTTTAATTCCTACCAGTCCTCTCTAATTCACTCACTAAACAAACCATCTACTGAGTACCTTCTCCTACTGGGCACCATTCTAGTCCCTGGGCATGCAAAAGGTCATGAAGACCTTGTCCTTGTGGCTCAGAGATCAGAAGAGGAGACAGACAGGTAGACAAGTTGGAGCAAGATGTCAGGTGCTGTGACACAAGCATGTATGTGCAAAGAGTGATGGACTCTGTCCAGGGCTGTGTGTGGGCATGACAGGGTGGAAGAGAAGCCTTTATGGGGGAGGCCACAAGTGAACTGTGCCTTAGAGGCTCTTTCCAGGGGAATGTGGGAATTCTAGGATGAGGGACCATGTGAGCAAAGGTGCAACATTGTTAAAGAGAGGAGCTGCAAGTAGTCTGAGTGGGGGGGATGCAGTTAGAGGGACAGGCAGGAACCAATTCCTACCTTGAATGTCAGTGAATCTCAAGCTTTATGATCAAGCCTAAGAGTCACCCAGGGTGCTTGTTAAAATGCAGACCTAAAGGATTGGATTCTGTAGGTCTGGGTAGGAGGCTTGGAATCTGAATTCCTAACAAGCATCCCAGGTGATTCTGACACAGGTTGCCTATAAGCTACTTCTTGAAAAATGCCACGATATGTGATAAGAGGCCCCTGAAGAATTTTATTTATTTATTTTTTTTCCCTGAAGCATTTTTAAGCTCAGGAAAATATGTGACCAGATGCAGATTTGAGGAAGATGCTCCAGGAAAGACTGAGCAAAAGTAGAGTGAACAAACAAATACACTTGAATTTTTTTAATAGAGTTGAGAGCTGCTTATGCACACAACAGATGCTTGGCAAGTAAATAGCTGAATGGAGACAGAGAGCTCAGTTTAAATATCTTAGCGATATCTGAAACTTCACAGGGTGAAAACTAAACTCACTTTATCTCCTAAGCTAATTCTTTCTAGTTTCTCCAACCTGTCCAAGGCACCACCACCTTTCTTAGGACCTTGGATTATAAGTGTAACATCCACACTGACTTTTCCACTTATTTTCCTTCAAGCTCTGCTGACTTTGTGTCCAGTTCTGTATCTACCACATTGGCATAAGCTTTCCTGACTTCATGAATAGGCAAGGCTGTCTGGCTGTCCTCCATATCCCTGTGTGCTGCACACAGCCTCCATGACAATCCTTCTTGGTCTCTTGATTATGTTACTCCTACATTTAAGAGCTCACACTGACTTGCAGACTTCTCAACTCCCACTTCTGCCATCTCCAGGTTCCCCCCACTACCCAGCACCAGCCCATTTAACCTTGTCATCTCCTCAACTTGTCTTGGTTGTTTTTACCTCTAGACTTTGATCATGTCATTTTCTCTGATTCAGGTGCCTCTTCAGCCTTTCTAGATTAATCTGACATCATTACTTCTTTCAAGATTCAGCACAGAACTCGACCTCTTCCAATATGCCAGTACTGACATTACTTCCTTGCTTTTCTATCTCTTTAGCAACTTGTATAATCAGTATAATTATAATATTTGTACTTGCTTATGAACTTTGTAGTTCTCAACAGTATTTTCCCGGGGTAAATTCCCTGAGGTGAAGGTCTGAATTTTCTTAGTAAACAAATAACCTTGAATTCTTTTGCTGGTGGTAAGAACAGCTTATGCACATTGTAGCTACTTGGCAAAAAAATGGCTGAATGGACCCTAACTTTAAAATGGAAGGAGTAGGGGCGCCTGGGTGGCTCAGTTGTTAAGCATCTGCCTTCAGCTTAGGTCATGATCCCAGGGTCCTGGGATCAAGCCCCACATCCTGGGATCCCTGCTCAGCAGGAAACATGCTTCTCCCTCTCTAACTCCCCTTGCTTGTGTTCCTTCTCTCGCTGTGTCTCTCTCTGTCAAATAAATAAATAAATAAAATCTTAAAAAAAAATAAAATGGAAGGGGTATTTGAGGCTGTCTTGTGAATATGAGCTCAATCTTCCAAAAAGTATCTTTCAAGCCAGGCACAATGACAGTTCACTGAATAATCTGTATGCTAACTAGAGAAGACATGCAGATTGTTTTGGGTATTTAGTTCCAGTACATTTAACATGGATCTACTATTAAACAAGCCTAGACTGAGTTTAGCTTCACCACTTGCTGGCTGTGTGGCCTTCAGCAAGTTAGATACTCTCTCTGATCTTCAGTTCTACTATTGGTGAAAGGAAGATGATACCACTTACCTCAACCCTTGCTGTGAAAATGAAAGGAGATAGTGTCCCCACAATGGGGTACTCACAAAGTAGTTACATCTTATTCTTTAACCATGAATTATTAGGCATACACAGTTCAAGAGAGAACAGACCTAATTTTAGAACAAAAAGGATGTCATATCTGGAAAATTTGCTATAATAATAATGAACCCTAGTTAGTGGTTTAAAACTCTAGTGTTTAATCCACAGGGATCTTCCTCTGCTAAAGATGAATGTGATTTAGTTGATGAACCAAAGAGAAGGGGGTATAAACAAGCAATTGTAAAAGCAATAAAATATTTTATTGGACGACTATAAAAATGGGTAGTTAATTTAACTTTAGCTCCCTAAGAAGGTAGTAAGTTTAGCCTGAACAACAAAACATTCTCATTTGAAGATAAACAACACATGTATTCATTTCTCATGCTTTATTTATCTTCAGCAGAGGAAGCAACTACATTTATCATTAAGTTAACAAAATATTTATGTGAAACCCTATTTGATTTATAGTTGATCTGAACAACAACAAGGAACATTTTCCAGATGAATACTAACATTCTGGGGATAATAGGATACCAAAAAGTGAGATAATGTTTATTATCAGTAATTGACATTAGCTCACTTTTAGGAGTTTTATTTTCAAAAATTTTTCACATTCTTTTGAGTAGGATTACTTCATTTTAAATTGGGAGCAAGTAGAAAAATATGTTTTTCATATTGTGATCCAGGACAAATGTCACTTGCCTCACGACACCGGTTAAAGACTAGAAAACACAAAACAAAATCAAACAAATAAAAAAACAAAACGAGGTGCAAACAAACTCACTGGAAGTGAAGTAAGTACTGCCCTCTGTTCTCACCATATCCATTCCTGATAGTGGGATGGGTCAGATGATGTTTTCAATATTTTATTATACGTTGGTTATGTCCATGCAATCAATTAATTAATCAGATATTGGAAATAATCAGATGCAATTAATTAGAAAATGCAAAATCAAATTTCACACAATGCATTTTAGGACCACTTCAGCCAATATTGCATCCTGGTAGCACAAATATTCTACCTGAAGGGCATTTATATGAATTATCAGTTATACTATAAATGAATATATAGCCTTTATAAATTCAATAAAGGCCACTTCATGAGAACATAAGTCACATATACAAATGAGGTATGTGCTTTTGTGATGTTTGATCTTATTTGACTTGTCTTACTCTGCAAATTTTGGTTTTATCTGCATGTATATAGGAATCCAGGCTTTCCAATTCCTTACCCTCATTAATGTATTGGATGTATTGGAAACATGGAACTTACTTTGGTTTTTGTTTTAAAGGGGTCTCCTTTTTCGGTCTTGCAAAAATCATTACATTTTGGTCCCTATCTCCACTGGTGATCTAAATGAACTTTTGGAGAGACCACGGGCAATTTAAACAAATCTTAAATGTGAACCGTACTAAAGCGTTGTTTAATTTATTATTCTCCACAGCCTACAGCCCACATACACTGGAAGGAGTGGATAAAGTCTCCCTTGTGTCACAGAATCCCGCTGAACGCACTTATCTCAAATTCCATCACCCCTTACCGTGTACGTGATGGTTTCTTCGGTGTCCTGTGACTTGACCAGCGCCAGAGCCAGCATAGTTAGGAAAAGGGCTTTCAACATCGTGAATCTCAAAGAAAACACAGAACAAACTGATGCTTAGTAATTGCTGCGGGGGGGGGGGGGGGGCAATAACAAAACTTGAGCTGTGCGGTAATAAGCAAGGAAGGGCAGGAGGGAGAGCCTGAGGTTCCATCATACCCAATTTCCAACCTACTTTCTCATTCCCCCTCCCCCTCCTCAACCTTCCCTGGGCCAAACGAGACACTAAAGACTGTAAAAGGGCTGCAGAATTACATTTCACTTTACTCCATCCAGCTGCGCTGAACATATACAAAGGATATTCAGCGAGCATTTTATACTGCACCTACACAACAGGATCCAGAAAGGGGGTGGAAGGGAAAGAACAGAGGGTAATTAATTTCAAGGGAGATGGTGCATTTGTGTGTATGTGTGAGTGTGTGTGTGTGTATGAAAGAGAGAAACAGACATACGGACACACACACATACACACAGAGGGGAGGTGAGGTTTAGCAAATCTCATATTCCTTGAACATTAAGGCTTTCCCTATATGCTCACCTCCAGCTAGTGAAGTTCCTCGCACAGCTCAGCAGAAATACCTGTGAATTAATATGAATTACCTTGGCCTCAAACTTTTTTTAACAAAACACCAAAACAAAACTCAAAGAGCAATCTCCTCCGCTAGTAGAATACCTGCCCTTCAGAGTTCCATCTCATATCCCCCAGAACAAACCCTCAAAGTGGCATTTCTATGCCGTTCTCTGGGCGCAGTTTTGTGTGAAAGACCCAGGTTGTGTGGAGGAGCAACCCAAAGCGCCTGATTTTCTGGGCCTTATCAGTCCCTTGGTGCCCGACACACTACCTTCAGGATCGGGCTGCCTAGAGCCAGAACCCGCGGACCACACCGCCGCCCGAGGTACTAGTTTCCAGGCGGCCGGCCTGGCGCCCCCCAGGAGGTGAGGTTCCCTTTTTTAAGTTAACAGGCTGCAGCCTCGGGAGCTGCTCTGCGCTCCCGCTTTTAGTCAGCTCCTGTGGAATCCAGTTGCGGCTTAAGTCTCGTACATTAGCCCCCTGAAACTTTCAAAACTTCGTTTATGGGCAAAGCCCAGTCGGCTGACTGTCGGCGCGCACACACTTGCCCATCCAAACAGATGTCACCCTGGTACGCGCACATGCTGACAGATCGCATTCCGAGACCGCACACCTTCACCTCCCTCTCTGCCTGAGAGATCTTGCACAGTCTGGGGCAGTTCTCGGGTACCCTGCACCCCTGAGGTTACCCCACTTACTTCCCTGCGCGCGGCCCGGCGGGCACTGGGCGCGCCAGGGGCTCCTACCTGCGCGGCCGCGCTGCTCTCCGGGCCTGGGCAGCAAGGGGAGAGTGCAGGGGAGGGCAGCCCGGTGGGTCTGAACTGGCGAGGTCTGGCAGCGGCCGCGGCGGCAGGAGGAGGAGGAGGAGAAAGGGAGGGAAAGGGGGAGGGCGGAGGGGGGCGGAGGAGAGAGCTGAGGGAGGCGCAAAGGCTGAGCTAGGCGCTGCAGGCCGGGCGGGAGAGCGCTCTGCGCAGCTGAGTCTGCGCCCCCTCCTCCGAGGGCCCTCGCGGCTGCGGCGCCTGCCCTCCTCTGCCAGCCCTTCACCCCAGTTCCCAGACACGCCGGAACCCCAGGCCGAAGATGGCATGCTTGGCATGTGAGGTCTTGGGTTTGAATCAGCCTTGGTGATGCTCCAGGCTTCAGGACAGTATCTCGTGCCCCGTAGAAGGAAAACATCTCTCCCACAGAGCTGCTCAGGGTCCTGAGAAATTGCTTAAACATTTTTTTTCCAATAAGTGAATCCTAGGACAGTTAATTAACCCCATTCATTGGACTGGTTCTTTTTGCCCTTTCTTTCAGATGATTTATTTATTTATTTATTTATTTATTTATTTATTTATTTATTTATTTTTGCGTGGGGGAGGGTCTGCTTCCTCAAATGTAGAAAAAAGAGAATTCATTCAACAAATATTTTTGACCTACTATGTGCCAGGATCCAGTGGGCCAGGTATAGCTCATGTTAACAAAATTGTGAGGTCACATTTGTTTTTGGTCTCACAAACCTCCCCTATTTATGGGCCCATTTTCTTACCTACTGCTTCTCTTCTCTCCACTGGTTCACTTGCAGGAGTCCCCACTACTGGTCATTCAAAGTTGGGCATTTCATTTTCACCTTTCATACTAATGTGGAATTTCGGGAATCTGGAGAGCAAAAAAATTTTTTTTCTGGCTTCTTCAAATCATACCACACAGATTGCTGTTATCTCCGAAGGCTCTAACTCTACAGTCAGATTAATAGTTTGCTTCTAGGCAGTCATGTCTTCTGAGAAGCAAACAGCCAAATACAACTTCATGAATGAGACAATGTGCCAACTGAAGGTACTAAAGGACTTTGACCCCAAGCAGAAGACAGAGGCTGGGAGAGAGAGGATCAGCTCCTTCCCCTTTTCTGCTGGCCAATGGGGGAGAAGGTGGTAGACAATGCAAGAGAGAGAGGCTTTGGGTGGAGACCTCTCTCCTTATCTCTGGGGTATGCAGTGGGTTGTCTAGATCTTGCCAGATTGGTTGCAAGCCACACAATATTGGGCAAGATCAAAAGAGCTTCCTGGCCCTGAAGCTTACATAAGTATGTGGGATTTTGCTAGTAGTATTGAAGATTTTTACTACTAAAATTCAAATAAGTTTGTTTTCCCAGTCTTAATGACCCCCAAACTTAAAAAAAAAAAAAGAGGAACCTTGCCTTTGTACAGTAAAAAGATCTGTCCAGACATTTTCTTCTATTTTTTTTTTTAATTCTATCTTCAGCCCTCTCCCCAGAAAAAGTGGGTTGAAACTCCCAAATTTCTATCTCCAGCTGGGAACTCTTCCTGCCTGAATATCCAACTGCTGACATTATCTTCATCTGTACACCTAATGGGCATTTCAAACTTAGCAGGTCTGCTGAGTCTCACCCTCTCTCCCAGCCTACATGCTTCACCATCTTGATTAATAGCAATTTCATCTTTCCAGTTTGTTCAGCTCCAAAATCATGAGTCAACCTTGATTTCTCTTTTTCTCACACACCTCGCATTCAATTCTTCAGAAAATTCTCTTGGCTCCATCTTCAAAATATATCCAGAATCAGACCACTGTTCATCACTTCTTTTGTTAACCCCTGGTCTGAGCAATCAGCATCTTCCACCTGGATTATTACGATAGCCTCCTGCAGTTTTTTTCTCAGCAGAAGTTCATATAGATGGATCCTAGAGTAGGTATTCTTCCGTGTCTGGCTTCCCTCACTTAGCATGCTTCTGAGATGCATCCTTGTTGTTCATTCCTTTTTATTGCTGAGTAGTATTCCAATGTATGGATATACCCTAACTTGTTTATCTGTTCACTTGTTGATAAATATTTGGACTGTTTATGAATAAAGCTGTCATTGGCGTTCATGTAGAAATTTTTGTGTGGATGTATGTTTTCCTTTCTTTTAGGTAAATAGGAGAGGAACTGTTGGGTTATATGGTAAGGATATGTTTAACTTTAAAAGCAAACACCAAACTGTTTCCCAAAGTGACTGTACCATTTTACATTCCTACAAGTAACATGTGAGATCCCATTTGCTCCACATCCTTGCCAGTACCTGGTATTGTCAGTCATTTATAGTGTTAGCTGTTTTGGTGGGTATATAAATGGCATCTCATTGGTGATCTCATTTCTAATGATGTTGAGCATTTTTTATTTCTTTATTGTCCACCAATATATATTCTTTTGTGAAGATCCCATTAAAATCATTTTTTTTTTTAAGACAGGGAGGGTGGGGAGCAGGGGGAGAGGGAGAGAGAGAATCTCAAGCAGGCTCCATGCCCAGTACAGAGCCTGACATGGGGCTCAATCTCATGACCCTGAGATCATGACCTGAGCCAAAATCAAGAGTTGGATACTTACCTGAATGAGCCACTCAGGCACCCTATCCTTCCTATTTCTAATGATAGTGTATCTCTTTACTAGTTGAAAAATAGTGAAATTGGCAATGACATTCTTGGGTTACTGATTCAGGAGGAGGCTTATTATCCCACTTCAAATTAATCAGAACTAAAAGGAAGTACTTCTTTTCCATAGTTAGGGGAAAGGCCTTCCAAGCTCACAGTGGAGGGGAACAATGGAGCCCTTGGCCTCAGCTGCCACTGGCAGCCATATTACCACCTGGAGGTAAGCCAGTCTGATCGTGAAGGTGGTACATGCTGTGGGTGGCCAACAGGTGGATGGAACCTAGATCCTGGGTAGATTGTTCAGAGGGCTGAATGATCCTAGGACCCACGATACTTTTAAGGGTTCTCCACAATGTTTTATTTTCTTATAAATTCAGAGGAAAAAACAAATATCATCCAGCCTGATTAAATGTCTTAATACCATTGCAGTCATGGAATACAATTTATTTTATTATTTATTTATTTATTTATTTATTTATTTATTTATTTATTTATTTTAGTGGAGCAAGGGGTTCATGAAGGCAAAAGTGCCCAGGGACCATGAAAGTCATAATATGGCCCTGATTGTTACACTTCCAAATCAGGCAAATGTGGACTCTGTTCCACCTCGGCACTCCAGTTTTGTGAGGTAATATATTTTTTTATGATTCAAGCCAGTCTGAGTCAGGTGTTCTGTTACTTGCAGCAGAAAATGTACTCACTGCTAGCGTGAGGAGGTCTCCTACTCTGGAAGCTCTGGCCCTTGTGATGTGCTATGTTTGTGTCCTGCACTCCTGAGTGGCAGGCTGTGTTTCTTGGGAGAGGCTGTTGGGAGAGATTCCCAGGCTTTCTGTCCTTGGGCAAGCTGAGTTCCAGCCGCTTCTGCTTGGATCAGCTTCTGAGTTCCTCCCCACCACCCCCTTGGCATTTGTGTGTGTGTGCGCATGCGTATGTGTGTGTGTGATTTTTAAAGATTTAAGACTTGAACTCTCCCTTTAATTCAAGAAGGTGACTCTGGCTTCTCCTCATGTGATCTGAAAGGTAACCAGGAACTAACTTTTATAAGGGGGTCCTCTGCTTCCTAGTTTACCAACTATTACACTATATGTATTACAAATAAAAATTTATATTTTCTTTAATATTTCCTTTTTAAAAATTCCCTGAAAATAATTAGAAGTCTCAAGGACCCACAGGCTCTTTAATTAATTGAGTCATGGAGTCAACAAATCCTGTGGTTACAAACTGATTAAGAATATTCACTGATGTGTGGACAATGGGAGAGTGAAATCTGTAAAAAAAACAAAATGAATTAAACAAAAAGGCAGTAAAGATGAAACAATTACATAGGGATTAATGGCAGGGTGGTCAATTCACCCCAGTTTACCCAGGACCTTTCCAGTTTTTGCACTGACAGTTCTGTGTCTTGGAAAAGTCCCCAGTTCTAGACAAATTTAAAGGTTTGTGTAGTGGAAAGAAAATAGGACAAGTAGCCAGGAGTTCTTGCCTGGACTTTGCTATGCTCTAGCTGGGTAACCATGGCAGTCACTCAACTTCTTTGAATCAGTTCTGCACAAATGTTGACCAGGATAACAACATTTATAACTGTAGTTATTATTTTATACTTACCTGTATTTGTCACCTTGTTTTTGCTGGTTCCTCATCTATTCCCTCTTCTTCTGGAAGGTAATAATATCCTGATTTTTCCTTTGGAAACCAACCCTTATAGTGACAGGCCATGACTAGGCCTGCCCATAGAATGCCAGTAAGTATACATAAAGGGAAAACTCATAGGCCCTAAAAATAAGGGGAAATGGCCCAGTGCTAGTACAACAAGAATGTCAAGGCCAGAACCTGGTTATTAGGCCTAGTGATGTGGCAGAATTATTGTCTTCTTAAGTTGTTTCCATGTGCTGATAAGAATGAGGATACAAAGAACATAGGGCCCATAATTCCATGCCCCTCTGAGTGGAAGGAGTCCATTCCACATGGGCTGTCAAGGCTTCTAGGCTTTAGGCCTGCCTCTGTGAGCTACAAGGCAGGCAGAGAGCTGGGGCATACCTCCTGAGCCCGTATTTCATTATATCCTTTGCTGGCTGATTCTTTCTATCCCTGAATCCAGACACCATGGTTTGATCCAGAGCATTTCCAATCCATATGATTTGCATGAAGCTTATTTTTCCTCTGACTCTATGGGTGAACACATGACCCAGGCTCTGCCAGTCGTAACATCAAATCTCCTATATCCACCGTGATTGGGTCAGAAATGATAAACACACCCTAAGATAACCCCCACTGAAGGGTCAGTGTGGCATAAGACTAGGATTCCAGAGAGTCTGGGTTCAAGTCCCGACTGCAACTCACTGGTTATATGAACCTGGGAAAGTCACTTAACCTCTCTGGGCCTCAGTTTCCTCTTATGGAAAGTGGGAATAATGATGATTCCTATCTTGTAGAATTTTTATGAGTATTAAATTAGAGAATGCACATAAAGCCCTTAGTACAGTTCCTTGCACATAGTTATTGCTGCTGCTATTGTTACTGTTAGTACCAGGGACCTATCACTCATGGGTCTGTGCTGTGAGCTTAGTAAATCAGATTCACCGTACAATAAGATAAAAGAAGTTACTACAGTTTAAAATTGTCTTCTTATTTTTGTTTGTAACTATTTGTAGTTTATGGAATATTTAGAAGAAGCAGGGTCTGAACGCTTAGTCCATGGCAGTTTTATGACTAAGTCATGGAAATGTGTGGCTCCATACTGAGCATCAGTACTGTCCTGAGGTGTCAGTATTTTTGGAATAAGTGGCTCTGAGATACCTAATATTCTGAATTTTGAATGACATAAAATTATACTTCCTTACTGATAATAAACAGTACTAGCTAACACTTATGTATTACTTACGCTGGGTCAGGAACTATAGTACGCAGTTCATATGTGTTAAGTCAGCAGCACTATTATTATGCTTATTTTGCTAAAAAGGAAATTAAGGCACAGAGCAGTTCAGTAACTTGCCCTGGTCATACAGCTAGTGAGCAGCAGAGTAGGGGTTCAAAAGCAGGCTGTGTGGTGCCCAAGCCCCTGCTCTACATGCTTCTTTGTGTCACTTTCTCCCCACTATAAACTGAACTTAGGGTGGCAGGGACGGAGCAGAGGCATGGATTATTTCTTCAACGTAATGCAACCACAGAGATTCAAGCTGGATTGAGCAGACTGCAATTGGAGATAGTAATAAATTCACTTTGCTAAATTGCTATGAGCTCAATGGAATCTGAAATTTTAAAGATTTGAAGATCTGTTTGGTGGGGGGAAAAAAACACAATTTCAGAAGAGATTCACAGGTGTTGATGACCATGCATTGTGCTTTAAGTCTTCATATGCTTTAGAATGTGTATCTGAATCAAAGGTGTCCTGTCAGTGTGGCTCAG